TATCCACAGTGGTTGCAAGACTGTGACTTTTAAGAGTTCTGGGCCATTCTTCAGAGGTACCTCAGGGTAGATTTGATCGACTAGCCATTGAGAAGTTAACCTTTTGAGCTACCTGTTGTTGTGCACGGTGGAGTTGGAACCTATTAGCTGACCCTCTGGCAGATTTTCATAGACAGCAAATCGTATGGGAGGAGATTGTCCATCTTTCTCCCCCCAGAACATCTGGTGGATTTGAACCATGCTCTTCTGGGTTGGCAGTCCTGTGGAATAGGAGCTCTGGTGGTGCAGAGCATAAGAGATTGCGATGCTAACCAAAATCCTATGTAGCACAGCCCTGTTCTAAAAGGCATAGAATTGTCATGAGTTGTAATCAACTTGATGAAAACAAGTTTTGTTTTTGTTTTAACTTGATTGAAATGGTTTGTTTTGTATTGTTCTTGATTTTTTTTAATTGGCTTAATTTTCAAACTCATGGTGACCCTATTGGGAGCACTGGAGGCCTAATCAGTGGGGAGTTGCACTGTCAACCCAAAGGTGGACAGTTCTGATCCACCAGCTGCTCTGATGGAGAGAGCTAGGTAATCTCCTCCCAGGCAATTCTTAGCTTCTGAAAACCTGCTGAAGGCTCAATTATGAGTAGATTCCAACTCAGTGGCAATTTCCCAATCTTTTACTTTCCAGTGACTCTACCAGACAGAGTAAAACTGTCTCATAGGACTTCCAAAACAGTAAATAATTATGGAAACAGACTGCTACATCTTTCTCCTGTGGAGTGGCTAGTCCACTCAGAGTATTTGAACCTCTGACTTTAGGTTTTCAGCGTGGTGCTCAACATCTGTACCACCAAAGTACCTTATAAAAGCCATTCGGCTTTTGGATTTTTATTTTTTTTATTATTATTTGTGTGTGAATGTACCATCAAATTGCATCTGATGGGTACAGGAGGAGATTGCCCCTCCTTCTCCAGCAGAGCATCTGGTGGATTCAAACCGCGTACCTCTGGGATTGCAGGGCAGCTTCTTGCCAGTAGACCATCAGAGCACCATGGAATTTTATATTTTTAATAATTTCAAATAATATGGAATAAGAATATATACATTTAATGAATTATTTTTCAGATAATGCTATATTAAGGGTGAAGGAATAAACATAACCTTGTTTGTTCATTTACCATTTTGTTAAAAATAAAAAAAGGACAGCATTCTCTAAGCATGGCTACCTCACGACCAGGGAAGCTTTTGATCCACTGTACGTAGAGTGGCTGTGAGTTAGAGTCAATGCGACAAAAACTTCAAAACAGAAAATAGTTTATTCTGTGCAAAATCAGTAAGTCATAAGACTTTTGAATGAAAAGGAAATTATCTTGTGTTATTTCACAGATGAAGAACCTATGACTCAAATTTTACTTGTTGTTAGGCCATGTTGAATTGTGTACAACTCACAGCAACTCTGTGAAGAACAGATCTGAGTATCATCCTATTCTGTCCCATCCTCATACACTTGCCCCGTCGCTTCAGTCACCATGTCAACCCGTCTCCTTGGGGCTCTTCCTTTCTTTGGCAGACCTTACACCCTTCCGAGCATGATACCACTTTCCAAGGCATAGCCTTTCCTAGCAACATGTCCAAAGTATCAGATTCATAACTTTGCTATCTTTGTTTCCAAGGAGCATTCTGGCTGCACCTTTTCCCAAGACTTAGCTGTTTGATCTTTTGGCTATCCATGAGATAATCAGTATTCTTCTCCAATACCACACTTCAAAGGTGTCTATTCTTCTTCTGTTGTCCTTATTCATTGCTTGGTTCTCAGATACATATCAAGTCATGGAAGACAATGGTCTGAATCAAGTGCACTGTAGTCTTCAAACTTACATCGTAGCTCTTCAGTATTTTGGAGAGGTCCATGACAGTGGCCTTGCCCAAGGCAATATATCTCCTTACCTCCTGACTGGTGGTCCAAGGGTGTTGATTGTATATTCAAGTAAGAAAAAAATCATTAACAATGCCAATCCTTTCTCCATATATTATGATGACTCAAATAGCAACCTACAGTTCTCTGGAACTGTACAGAGTAGGCCATATATCTAGAAAGAAATATACAATCATATTTTCCAGAATGACATAAACATTCAGTTTCCTTGGCTCCACAATCAACACTTTTGGTACCAGCAGCCAGGAAATTTTAAAGTAAATTGCACTGGGAAAGTCTGCTGTCAGAGACCTCTCCAAGGAACTGAAGAGCACGTGTCACTCTGGAGACTAAGGTGCACCTGATCCAGGCCATAGTCTTTGAAATTACTTGCTATGTGTCAGAAAGCTGGACAATGACTAGGGATGATTGAAGGAGAATTGATGCCTTTGAGCTGTGGTTCTGAAGATAAGTATTAAATATACCACAGACTGCTAGGAGAACAAACGGTTTCATCCTAGAGAGGGTAAGACCAGGCTGCTCCTTGGAGACAAGGATTCTGAAGCTTCATCTGACATTTTTTGGACATGTTGCAGGGACCAGTCCTTGGAGAGGGGCGTTATTCTTGGGAGGGTGGAGGGACAGTGCAAGCGAGGAAGACCTTTGAGGAAATGGATTGATTCAGTGACTGGGTTAATTGGGAGTAGGTGTGTGTCAGAGACAATAAGATTAGACCAGGATAGAGCAGGGTTTAGGGTTGTTGTACATAGGGTCGCTATGAATCACAGACAACTTGACGTCACATAACAACAACAACAACATAAACATTGCGAGACAAATATCTTCCATTATGGAGAATTCACATAACAGCTAGGAGGCACTAGTCTGAGATCTAGTATACCAGTCTAGTGATTAAGACTATATAAAAAGACTTAGACTGTTGTTGTTGTTGTCATGTGCTATTGAGTCACCTGTGACCCACAGCAACCCTATATACAATAGCTCTGAACCGTGTTCCTGACCTAACCTCATTATCTCAGTTACTGTGGCAATCCATTTCTTCCTGAATCTTCCTCTCTTGCACTCACTCTACCTTTCCAAGCATAATATCCTCCAAGGACTCGTCCCTCCTGGCAACATGGCTAAAATATGTATGTTCAATACTCTTCTCCAGCACTACAGCTCAAAGGCATTAATACTTCTTTGTCATCCTTATTCATTGTCCAGTTCTCTGATGCAAAGCAAGTAATTGTGAAGACCCTTGCCTAGATCAATCACCCATTAGTCTCTAGACTGATGTCGTTGCTCATTAGCATTCTGGAGAGGTCTCTGAGAACAAATTTTTCCAGTGCAATTCTTCTTTTGATTTCCGGACTGCTGGTGCCAAGGGTGTTGATTGTGGAACTGAGTAAGCTAAGATTGTTAATCTCTTCTCCATCTATCTAGATGCTGCCAATTGTTCCAGTGATAAGAATCTTTGTTTTCTTGATATTGAGCTTCAATTCATGTTGGAGACTTCAGTCCTTGATCTTCTGCAGCAAATATTTCAGGTTCCCAGACTGCACACCCATGTTTATTGCAGCTTTGTTCACAATAGCAAGGAGTTGGAAACAACCTAAGTGCCCATCAAAAAATGAATGGCTAGAAAAGCTGTGGTATATTCGCACAATGGAATATTATGCTGCATTAAAAAACAAGGAACTCATGCAATATTACTCAAAATGGTTGACTCTAGAGAATATTATGCTGAGTGAAATATCCCAGTCACAAAAGGACAAATATT